TCTCTCTAGGGTCTGAGGTCTCTTACCTCGAGATTGAAAACTTGGAAATTAATGTAGGCTGTATGGCCTAAATCATCCTGCTATAACTATGAAACGACACATTGAGTACAAAATCGAGAAGATTTTATCGATCAACGTATTTAAATCAGAGTTTTTCTCATCTCCGCCCGGCTACTGTATCTGAAAACTGCAGGTTCGAAGTCCACCATACCAGCGGTCAGTTGTCCTGACAGTTCCCTGGGGTACGTTTTAGGCAATAATTTTTCACGTACGCATATTTCTAAACATTTTTTGGTTATCAGTCTCCAGACGCTTTCACAGGCACTACACATCACATTTAAGACAACATTACAGTAAATGTCCTATCTCATGAACGTTCAACCAAAATTCTGAAATTTGTTTTCAATACCACCAAATTACTTACGTAGGGTTGATATACTGACTTTCCTACAGTCTAATCTCAAGGCATTTCCTTTACGTCCGTATTTTGGCTTTAAAGTGAGATTCTACCTGACTATCTGCAAAATGCAGGGTCCATAAAAATGAGTACTTTGTGGTAGGCATTTTCGCATGGATTTTAAATGCCCTTATAAATTCGCATATATTTTATGGAAAACATGCAGCAAAATATTCTTTCTTGCACAAGTTGGATACCAGATGACGTTCTTCAAAGTGCATACTTAAGGAAAGGGAATCATTCGGTCGCATATGGGACGTTTTACGACCGTGAACCATTTTTCCATAATACATCGTATCCGTCAATTTATAAATGTTGCCTATAAATTATGTAACCTGATTCAAATCTATTGCAAAATGTTATGAGAATTGTGTGAACTCTTTGTTATACCGTAGCTTAATATTTACTTTTTTTAGACAGAATGTATACAACACATATATAGGAACCCTTGAATTCGCGTGTAACGGCCGCTAAGGTTCAACATTATCCGACAATACTCATTGTTTCACTGTAAACTTCGAAGAAGGCGCCATTTGCTATTAAACGAGTATAGGAAAGAATATTATTCTGCAGGTTTTCTATAATATATATTTGCATTTATAAGGACATTGAAAATCGACAAAAAAGTCCATACTTATTAAGCAGCCATTTTTAGAGAGTATGCTTTTTTCAAGTGGACAGAAAGAAGCTCATTCCAAAAACAAAATCTGACGTGACTGAAACATCTTGTGATTTTGCTGTATGAAAATTAATGTTACAATCTTAGAAAAGTAATTTATTCGAATCGAAAGCACGTCTCAGAATTTCAGCTTCATGAGATGGGGAATCTGCTGTACACAGTTATGGGCTCTCGAAAGTCTACTTATACTCTATTGTTCCTTTCTGTCACTCTTGTTCACGCTGTAGACTTACTGGTCTTCAGTACATCACCATTGTTCAAAATTGTATTCCCAGTTGTAAGCCCCTTGTTGCTG